AAAAAATAAAATTTTATTTTATAGAAATGTCATTTCTTTCATGATTTTCTTCTTGATATTGAAAAGCTACTGATTTTGTATAGTGCTTTTGTATCATGCTACTTTGCTAAATTGTCATCTCTCATAATATTTGATTAAGTCTTTGAGCTTTTACATACAGAATTATGTTATCTGTAAATAGAAGCAATTTGGTTTCCTTTCTGTTTTTTATGTCTTTCTCTGGTCGAAATGCTCTGGCTAAGTGTTCTCCTACTATATTGAACAGAAGCAGTGGGCACAGACACACTTGTGTTGTTCCTGATCTTAGTGGAAATGACTTCAGTTTTTCCAAGTTCAGTATGATATTGATTATAGGTTTTCATAAATATCCTTTTATTATATTGCAGTATGACCCTCGTATATCTGGTATGCTTCAGGTTTTTATCGTAAAGGGATGTTAGATTTTGCCAGCTACTCTTTCTGCATCTGTTATGATGAGTGAGCTTTCTGTTTTTGTTCTGAGACAGGGTCTTACCATGTAGCTCAGGTTGGCCTTAAACTGAAGATTCTCCTGCCTCAGCCTCCTAAGGACCAGGATTACAGATGTATACCACTACACTCTGCTTGGATCCTATGATTTTTATCCTGGATCTGTGATGTATTGTATTTGTTGATTTGTGTATGTTGAACTGCCTTTGCAACCAGGAACGAAACCAACTTCATCACTGTGTGTGATCTTTATGCTGTATTGTTAATTGCCAGTATTTAGTTTTGCAAGGTTGACTACTGTTACCTATAACTGGACACGGTAGTGAAGTCTTATTATAGCCTCTTGTGGAAGGGCTTCAGTCATAGTAGATATGAGATCCAGCTGACACAGTTCTGGGTACCTGTCAACAGGAGATAAAGACAGCAGACCAAAGAGACATTCCCGCCCAGGTTAATGGAAGCGCTGTTCACAGCAGCTAAGATAGGAAATGGGCCTCTGTACCCATCAACAAGTGAATGGAGGAGGAAATGTGTTGTACATCACAATGGAGTACTATTATCCTGCCAGGAAAGAGTGAAATCCTGACATTTGTTACAGGGTAGAGGGAGCAGAGGATATTATGTTGGTAAAATGAGCTGGACACAGAAAGACCAGAACCACACGTTCTCTCTCATATGTGGAAGCTGAAAAGATGCATCTGAATATGAACATGACTGCTAGAGGCTGAAAATTGGAGGAACTGGGAAGGAAAGGAGGGAGAAGGTGGATTTCTCAGTCCATGTTCTATGCATGCTTGTGACTGTCACATCATACCCGGTTAACATGTATATGTGTAAGCAAAAATAAGGATAAGGATACAGCTATTAAGTGTGGCACTAGTAAGAATAGTACGTTAATGACTTCAATAGATAGATAGATAGACAGATAGATAGACAGATAGATAGATAGATAGATCCAGTTTATTTTCAATGTATTTGCAAAGGCAGTTCAGCAGAAAAAAGAAGACAACGCTTTTTTAAATAAATTATGCTAGATCAATATGATTTCATTAAAAAAAAAGCAAAACAAAAAAAAAACCTCACTCCTATACAAAAGTCAATTCAACATGAGGTACAGACTAAATATTAAATTCAACATTATCAAACGTTTATAAGAAAACATGGAGTGGAAGGAAATCTCTTTATGGCCTTGGACTTGGCAGAGATTTCTTAGGCTGCCCAAAACAACAATCCACAAAAGAAAAACTAAGTGAAGGTTGGGATGAAAATATTCAAAAGCTGCCTTTGGTTATGAATTTTTTTTAAAGGAAAGAAAGAAAAAAAAACAGAGCCTGGATATGTACCTTATAAAGGACTATCTGGAACATCTATAGAATATTTAAAATAAAACACAAAATGTGAAATAAAAGCAACTTACGAAATGGGCAAAAAGATGCTGATTCTTTATCACAGGAGATACAAGACTGCCACACACACACACTGGGAAACATCTCATATCATAAACCACTGGCTCACGAGTTACTCAGGAGGCTGAGATCTGAGGATAGAGGTTCAAAGCCAGCTGAGCAGAGAGGTCTATGAGATTCTTATCTGGACCATTAAAAAGCCAGAAATAGAGCCACAGCTCAGGTGGTAGAGTACCAGCCTTGAGTAAGAAAGCTAAGAACAGCACCTAAGCCCTGAGTTGAAATCCCAGTACTAGCACAAAAAGAAATTAAGGATATCAATAAACAGCTAACAGATAAAGGAAAAAACTTGACAACAGCAAATGCTGGTGAAGATGTGAGAAACTGCAACATTTCATACATTGCTGGATAAAATCCAAATTGGATTCTCATTTGAACAAACAGGGTGCTGGATAAAATTCAAATTGGATCCCCATTTGAACAAAGAAGGTACAGGTACTTATGACATTAAAGCCACAGATAATCTGGCAATTCAATCCTACAGGGAGTTATCTGCCCAAGAGATACAGAATCATGAAACTGGGCATGCCCTGATATCCTACCTACAAGCTCACTGCTGTAATCCTAGCTACACAGGAGGCTGAGATATGGGAGATTGTGGGTTGAGCCTAGCTTGGGCAGAAAAGTCCATGAGATTCTATCTCCAATTAACCAGCTGAAAATAAATAATAAAACTCTGAGCTGGAGAGCTGGGAAGGTGGCTCAGTGGTAGAGTGCTTGCCTTGCAAGCATGAAGCCCTGGGTTCGTCAGTACCACATAAACAGAAAAAGCCAGAAGTGGCACTGTGGCTCAAGTGGTAGAGTACTAGCCCTGAACAAAAAGCAGCTTAGGGACAGTACCCAGGCCTTGAGTTCAAGCCCCATGGCAAAAACAAAAACAAAAATAAAACCTCTGGGCTGGAGATATTGCTCAAGCAACAGATTGCATGAGGCTTGGATTTCAAATCCTAGTATGGGAAAAAAAAGTGAAAGAAAACAAAGAAACCACAAGTGCTTTTTTTTTTAAAGTAGTATTAGGATTTGAATTCAGAGCACTTGATTGCAAAGCTGGCGTTCTACCCCTGAGCCGTGTGTCCAGTCCTGTTTTTCACCATCTATTTTTAGGATATGGTCTTACTTCCCACCTCAGGGAGTGACTAAATCAGGATTCACCTACATTAGGAATTGAAAAGGTGGGGAGTGGGCTCCTGGGGAGGGGAATACAGTCATAAAACTTAATGCTATCCTAAAACGTTAAGAAAATTGAGGGGAGGGATAGGGTTGGGAGGGAGGGAGAAGCATATAAAGAATGAGACCCATCATGATCCACATTGATTGCTTTCATAAACTGGTTTGCTGAACTGTAACGCCTTTTGTACAACTACTTACACTATAGATAATTTAAAAAATAACTAAAAATTATCAAGTGCTTGCTATGACCACACCAAGTAATTTACATAGTAATGAATATTCATAACCAATATGCCTATATTATATATGCCTATAATCCTAGCTACTCAGGAGGCTGAGATATGCAGAATGGCTGTTCAAAGCCAGTGGGGGCAGAAAACACTAAAAAATAGCCAGCAAAAAAACTAGCCTGGTGGTGTGGCTGAAGTGTTAGTGTGCCGGCCAAGTGAGCAAGAAGCAAGCTGAGGCCCTGGTTTCAAACCCCAATACGGGGCGGGGGGAAACAGGGCATCATATGATTACAACTTTGTGTAAGCCCCAAGTCAGTAAGAGAAAAGCATTTAAAGTAGTAAAGAATTCCTGAGGAATCCTTCAGAGAATCATCTGCCTGAACCATTGGTAGATGTGTGCCCTAATCCTAACTCAGGAAACGGATTTTGGTCTAAAACACCAGGCAAAAGAATGGAACTATATCATCAGTTGGACAGCAGAGAACCGTGCTGGCGGCTGAAGGCCTTTCCAGCGCTCCCAGATGCAGATCCCAGGATGCACAGATGCGCCTGCGGGCCGTGGCTGCGCAGGTGTGTGCGTGGACGTCCCCAAGGAAAAGACAAGGCGACAGCATATGCCTCCCGCCGGCCGCAAGGACGCCTTCCTCCGGGGCTCCACACCTTACAGGGTTCTGCTGTTCTCTCACCCTTCCCCAGTTTTACCTCATCCCACAAGCCTCTGATGGAATCTTTGAGAATACAAACCAAGATACCCAGAGCTCTGAGATTTCCCAACCACATAGCTCCAAAATTGCTTCCCAAGTGGAGACCTGGTAGATAACCAGTTGTGGGTACATGCGGCTAGATCTGAGGGCCAGCCGAGGGGATGGATTGGTGAGTGGGTGGCTGCTGGGGGATGGGAGGCCGGCCGGCCGGCGGGCTGGACGGGTGGATCGGTGGGTGGACGGGTGGATCGGTGGGTGCACGGGGGGATGGCTGGCTGGCTGGGCATCTGAGACGCTCCAAGGCCCGTCCATACACAGACCCCGCAGGTCTCCAAAGGGGTGGAAGAGAGCCGGGTTTCCCACGCTTCCGCTTTCTGGCAATGAATTAAGCCCAGATGAAAGCAGCCATCGGCAGAGCCGCGCGGACACCCGCGCCCAGGGCTGACCAACGCCACTAAGGAGCGATGCGGACGGCGGTCTCCAGGTGTAGGTGGAGGGTCCTGGGCGCTGGGGTGGGGGTGAGGGGCGCGGGGACCACGGCGGTGTCGGGTGCCGCAGGCCAGGGCGGCTGGCGTCCGCGGCCGGGCCCTGCGGGCGGGAGGAGGGGCTGCAGGTGGGGGGGGGGGGCGTGAGGAGAAGCGGGAGGGGGGGTGGGAGGCGTGGGAGGCGGCATGGAAACGACTAGAAGAATCTGGTGCAGTGTGAGCGCAGCTGTCAGCTGACGGCGCGGAGCCAGTGCGGTGGCGCGGGCGCGGGGCGCGGGGCGGGGCCGCGGCGCCGACCCCCGCACTTGCCGCATCCGCAGCATCATCTCTCCGGACCCGCGCCGACCCTCGCACTTGCCGCAGCCACAGCCGCAGCATCCAGACGCGCGCCGAACCCCGCACTTGCCGCAGCCGACCAGCTCGGACGCAGAGCCACCGGCGGGCGCCTCCCGACCTCCGCGGCAACTCCACGCGACCATGGCCGATCCGGAGAACCAGAGCCCCGCGGAGCCCAGCCAGGCGGCAGCGGCGGCGGCGGCGCCAGCGCCGCCGGAGGTGGCCGAGGTGGGCGCCACCGAGGAGGTGATGGCGGAGGGCGGCGCGCAGGGCGGCGCGGCGGCGGCCGGGGACGCGGCCGTCCCGGGCGCCGACGAGCCGCAGAGCGCGGCCGCGGCGGCGGCCGAGAGCGCGGCCAAGCCCCGCAACGACTTCATCGAGAGCCTGCCCAACTCCGTCAAGTGCCGCGTCCTGGCGCTCAAGAAGCTGCAGAAGCGCTGCGACAAGATCGAGGCCAAGTTCGACAAGGAGTTCCAGGCGCTGGAGAAGAAGTACAACGAGATCTACAAGCCCCTGCTCGCCAAGATCCAGGAGCTCACGGGCGAGATGGAGGGCTGCGCCTGGACCCTGGAGGGCGACGAGGACGAGGACGAAGAGTACGACGACGACGACGAAGACGGCGACGAGGAGGAGGACGAGGAGGTGGGCGCGGCGGCGCGGCGCCGCAACGACGGCCCCAACACCCAAGTGCCCGACGGCGCCTGCAAGTAAGCGCGCGGTGGGGGGGGCGCGAGCCACCGGGCCCCCTCCCTCCCTCCCTCCCCACCCCGTCCTCCCCTCTGATAGACGGTACAGGCCCTCTGCTGACGTTTCCTAACTTAAATCCCAAGTAACTTAAGCCCATTCCACCTCTGAACACGACCAGAGATGTAGCAAAAAGCAAGCCCCGCTCAGGTGAGCGTGGTGATTGGTTTGGTGAGTTCACTCCCCCCTCCTCACCCCAGCTTCAGAAGACGGGAAGAAAAAAGTAAGTACGTCATGTGGAATCCATCATCCACCTGTCCATCCATCCATCCATCCATCCACTCCGACAGCCAAGCAAACCCTGACGCATCTCCAATTGCTTAATTCTTTTCACTTCTGTCGCCCTGATCTTTCCCCATGCAGTGATCCCAAGAAAGACGTCATCTTTTAAGATGTGGCTGCAACCGACACAGGACAGGCCGGAGGAGAGATGGAGAAGCAGCCTGCGACACAGACCGTGAACTATGAACGAGGCCAGGAAAAACTGCCATTTCAACTTTAGGGGAAAAAAAAAAAATGTTCTGGGTATTTGTGTATTAGAGAAACGTGGCCCAAAAGGCGGGTGTAACCTGTATAATAGTGTCATCCTGTATTCATTACTAACAGTCTCACGTTTGTTTACTTGGCACTGTCTTCAAAAAAAAAAAAAAAAAAGGCGTTAAAAATAACACCCCTCCCCCAAAGTGTTTTAAGTATTGAATCACTTTACCTAGTGTTGTAGAAATATTCATTTAATTCAAGAGATGTAGACTGTAGCAAATTCTGTACCGCATGTGTTTCCAGCGTTGTGTGGTTTGATCCCTGTGAAGTGTTTCTGTCATGTAGCTTTTAGGGTGTAGCTGTGAAACCAACAGTCAAAACTCCTCACTGAAGCTAATGTTTGGGAAAAAAAATTATATACTTGAAGAACCAACCCAAGTGTGTATCCCCATCCCCAGCTCAGAAGTAGAAAGGGTTTCAGTTTGCTTGTATTAGCTGTGCCTTCATTATTTTGCTATGTAAATGTGACATTAAATATAAAATGGTGCATAAATAAATTTTACTGCTTGAGGATCGATTGGCATATGGGAAGAATACATTTGATGTGAAGGACCCTTAGCTTCTTTGTGGGTTTTGAAGTCTATGTGCTCTGTAAAGAAACATCCGCATAAAGTTGTTTACCACCGTGGTGTTAATAAAACAGTATTTTCAAAATAAATAAATAAAAGACTTAACATTCTGACTGCTTGGAGTCTCTTCTTCATTAAATGGGGCCGGTCTTACTCCCTTCCTTGCAATTAAAAACAACTAATGGTGTGTTACCCATAAAACCAATAAACAGTGTTATCTATTAAGTACTGATTAGCCTTTCAGCTTTATTATTAATATTAGTACAGAAATGATAAATACTCTGGTAATTCAACCCTCTTTTTTCCATGGGCAAAGAGGGGGGGAAGGGGGAAAAATAACCATTATGATGTCCCTGCATTCATGATTCCTTATTGTCAAAGAAGAATGTTCCTTTTAATTCAATATTGCAGGAAATTGAATAAACCATCTTGTTTTGGCTTCAATATAAAATCAGGTTTTAATTTCCTCCTCAAAAAGATAAGACTTCAATATGACATTATGAATATACCAAAAAAAAATTCTTTCTAAAAGCAGATCCCAATCTCTTCCATTTCCCCGAAGGGTTAAAATGACACAGAAGCTGCTTTTAAAGTCAAAATGGAGGGTAGCTCTGACCTGTTGCTAATGACGACGGCCTGGCACAAACAATCTAAGGTGGTGATAATCTTCTGCATAGCCAGGCTAACCGGAGGAAAAGTAAAATTTATCACCACATAATTCATGGCTATCATAGTCATGATTATTTTAGTAAAATAAAAAAAGATAAAATAATATTTATATCTCTAAAACTGAGAGACTCATTCAGCATTTTTCTAGGGCCAATAAAAACAAAAATGATTCACAAATTAAGGGCATAATTACTGGGGAATTTATTTTACAGGTAATTTCTACTGAAGTCTGCCTCTGCATGTGTGTATATGTTTAACAACCTACCAAAACAAATGTCTATAACCTATGTTAAAAAAAAAACAAAACAAAACAGGATTTCACAAATGTAACAGGTTTTTGATTATAAGACTGAATGTCACAGAAGTGGTAATTCTTCCCAAATTTGTTTTTTATCACAATTCAAACTGAAATCCAAGTCACATCTGGAATTTAATATAACTACCCTGATGTTTACGTATGAGACTAGTTAAGAAAATGTTTAGTACTTTAGAAACCAGTTAGACATTTAAAGATTCAAAGAATTTTTCATTAAAGAAAATACATTACGTATTTATCGACTATTAGACACAGAAAGGCTGAGATTAGGGTGGCATCAGACCAAAGGATGTAACAGATGATGACAGCTCAAAATGAGGAAAGGATAAAGATTTGAATATGCATTCAGATGCCAACAAAAATTAGGAATATCCACAATGAATATGAATGGCAAAGGGCTAATACTATAATAACAATAGCCTAAGGCTGTATTATTCATTTGGAAATGATCTAGTTTTTAGAGAAATACTTGAAGATCATCAACAGGTTATTTACACAGAGAAGGTTCGGGTGGAGAGACACGTCCCTGCACTGCAGCACTAGGTAAAACGGCTTGAGACAGCTCCCAGCTATGTGATCCAGCCAGCAAGCCATTCTTTCCTGATAAGACTTTAGCTACAGGGGTTTTTGCTAGTGCCTGACCACACCACTACCTCAAGGGTTCCAGGATGTTTGCAAAGCCCTTCATAATTCCAAGTGACTTCCATCATTTTCTAGCTGGGATAATGTTAACCCTGCATTTCCTAGCTTGTTTATTTGATAGCCACAAAACCTGGGTTTGTGAAGCATCTAGCAGGATGTCTTCCCTTCAAGGCAAGTCAAAGACGATATAGCTCAGTAAACCATTTGTAATTTCTTACAAGCCAAACCTAGCCAACGAAGTGCAAAGTCACTGGCAGAGAGAAAGGCAGCCTGCATCACCCACACAGCCAACGCTCTAGGGGTCTGTGCAGAAAATCGTAGCATGTAAGGCTCATGCGCACAGCTAGCACAGCACTGTCCCTGCCTGTAAGTTTACACTCTGTGCACATACGCCAGCATACCTGCATTGCACATACCCATCCACAACACCAAAATCAATCGTTTTACAGGAAACAATTCTGTGGAATGTCATGTATGTCATATATTACATTCACAATGCTACATAGCTATTACCTTTGATTAACAGATAGATATATAAAGTAAGTAGACACACCATCGAAATGGATCACCTCTTTATGGAATATTTAAAGTAGCCTATATGTGAAAGAAATTTTAATGGAACTGTTAATCACAGTGTAAGGATGGGTGAATGGTTGTTATGTATTGAGGATGATACATAAACTGGCAAAATTCATTAGCCATCAATTTAGCAAAAATATCTATCCACTGATTCAATATGCCAAACATTTTCATTTAAGTTCATCCTTGGGATCTTATAATTAAAGGGCAATTTTATAGGCAAAAAATAAATCTTTTATATACACACAGATACATGCAATGTAATAGCCCTTAAAACATGGGTAGGGAAAGGAAAAGAAAAGGAGAAAAAGAACACACACACAAGTCAAAACGGCTACTATGAAAGTCAGAGTTTTGTAACAATATCTGAAGTACTGTTCTAGCATTTTCTTCCCCTGGTTAGAAACTCAGACATTGAAATCCATACATACATAGTATGTTTTTAACTTCAACTTTGAAAAAATACGTTGTCTAAAAAACAAAAACAAAAACTAGCAGCATCTTCAGCCATTCTCTTCTCCTGGAGTTTAGGGGGACAAGCATCCCCCAGCCCATCTCAGCTCTCAGTGACTGGATGTGGATGTCCACCGAGCAGACACTGGGACTCAATCTGCCTGGTTTTGAACCCTGGACTTGTAGCTATGTTAACCTGACTGAGTGACTAAGCTCTCTGTGCCGTCAAGTGGGATGGCTTCCATGTCGAGTACTTGCAAAGGTGCCTGATGCCTGGCGAGCACTTGGGAAGTGTCACCAGCCTCTTATCTATCTGCTGTTCCTGCCACATGGCTACGAATGCACACTTCTGCACTACCATGGGGAGAGGCCCACTTAGTTTATCAGAGTCCCAACTTCAGTGGATCTTAAGGACTCTTATCATATTATATGACCACCTCCAGGTTCTTTCTATGCAATCTAGGTGCTCTAGGGACCAACAAACAAACAGCAACAACAACAAAAAAAAAAAAAAAAAAAAAAAAGAGCAATTGCATTAAACTGAGGTAAGTTTAGGGGAAAATGGCATCATTCACAGTTTGTCATTAATAATAAGAACTTCATGTTGCAGAGTATGAGAAACTCAGAGAATGAGCAGCCAGGAAGCACACTATTATCTGGAGGTGACCCACCGAGCCAGGCAGGGTCTCACTGAGATGGACAGCGGAGATTATACCTGAAGCCTTTACTTCTTTTGACTGTGTAGCTCTTACCCAACAATGAAAAGCAATTTTAACACACAATGGAACAAAATAAGTTATAGATGAAGAATTGGTACCCTGGCATTTTTCTTTCAAAGCAGCTATGACATCAGATATCTTGCCATTTTAACCCTAAAAACAGCATCATTGCCAGCAGTCCTCAGCATACAATGGCCAATGATGAGAATCTAAGGGATATTATTCTTCTTGTTCTTTCATTTCATTTTCTTGATCATTTAGAGCGTGGGTGGCAAGAATATGGCACATAATAGGCGAAGGGAATAAAAGCTATAATAATTAATATTTTACAATGGCCTATAACCTTTCCTTCCAGGCTCTCAAGGTACTTTATGAAGATTTCTATTTTATACAATATAAGATGAAAATTGAAGCAGGGATTCATTCAGCTTTTTCTGACTGTCACCGGGGATAATACTGACATCAAGCAGTGGGCCAGCA